TTACACTGCAGTCACAGCTTACCAGATGAGAGCTGCTGCAGGGGAACTGCAGTGAAGAAACGCAGCAGATTTATTAGATGTTAAACGCTCTTAAATCTCTTTACTGCTGGTTTGGGATTGCAGCAGTGGGACAATGGGCACAGATGTGAGGTTTGTTTAATGCCTCACTCAGGAGCTGCACCGTTAAACCAGGGCTCTGCCTTTATTACTGTCAGGATCGAGAGACTATACAGTTGGACTGGCACAACTGTGAACCTTATATCTCACAAATTTACGGTGTGTTAAAGCCAACTTTGCTTTAGGCTATGAGCACAGCATTGCTTCTGAGGTAGTTTTATAGCGAGGGCTGTTACAGGGACTTCAGTTTAACCTTTTTCTGTTCTGTTCGGTCAAAGCCTCTGTGCCAAAATTTGCAGCACTTCATCTAGCATGCACTCATCAGATGAAAACACTTGACATGAAATGCATTTTATCTTGTGCACCTTGCTCTTCTTCATGGCTTCATGTCATAGATTCGATTTTAAAGCTATTGACACCAGCCTGAACCGCTGATACAAAGCAGGATGGATCCACGCTTTTATGTCATTTATGCCAAATTCTGACCCTACAGCAGATATGGAGAGTCATCAGTCCGTTCGACGTTTTTTCAGTCTTCTATTATAACATTTTGTTAAGCTTGTGAATTGAAAGCTCAGTTTCAAGTTTTCATTGTGGTCTTCTGCTGTTGTAGCCCGTATCTTTCAAGCTTTGGCATTCAGAGATGCTCTTCTGCACACCTCAGTTATTGAAATTTCTTGGGATAATTTGTGGGTGGAAGTAAGCGTAAGGTATTGATCACTGTTTAATCCGACTCCCTGTCCTCCTTTCTCTGTAAGGGTTCATTTCCCGGGAACTTACACTTGGTTCTGGTGTTGCGTCCCACTACTTTGTTCCAGCGGACTCTGTCGGACTTCCTGTTCAAGTTCAACAGGGATGAGTTCAAGATGAAGGTATGACTAATACACCGCAGCACTTTGTCTTTACGTAATGGCTCCCTTGTGAGTCACTGAGAGCACAATTATTATTTTAGCTAGTGTAGAGCTGTCGTCACTGTTGTAACTTATGTTTATGTTTGTTTTCATCTCAAAATAAATGTGTGATAGTATTTCATTTAATCAGTTTGGGTGTGTGTGTGTGTCAGGTGGTGATGCTGAGTTCTGTGACTGAGCTCCATGCGTATATCGATCCAGGACAACTAACCAAAGAGTTGGGAGGCACAC